ATATTTAATATATAATAAGTTAATACTTTTATTTAATAAAATATATTTATTTAAAACTTTATTTAATAACCTATACTATATTTATATATTAATATATATTATATTTATATTATATATAATATTTAAAGTATAATTATATTTAAATTTAAATTTAAATTTAAATTTAAATTTAAAGTTTAAAGTATCTTTATTTATTTATATATTAATAAATAATAAAAATATAAACCTATATATATATTTAAAAGTAAAAGTTTAAATATTTAAACTAATAATTTTAAATAAAAATTTATTAAAATTAGAAAATTTATATAAAAAATAATATAATTATCTAACTTATTAAATTAATAAATTAACTTAAAGTATATAAATTAAATACCTTTAATAACATTAATAGTTTTAATATATACTTTTATTTAATAATATTATAATAAAAGAGTTATTATATTATTATATATTTAAAAAAGTAAGGGTTTAAATTTAATTTAATATAAAGACTTCTTTTTTAAAAATATATACTTATTCCTATAGTTAATTATTTTAAATAGTAAACTCCTATTTAATCTTAATAAAGAATCTATATTTTAATTTATTAAGAATTTATATAAATATTATAATATAAAAACTATTCTATTTATTTATTATTAAGTTATATATATAAATATTTTATATATTATTATAATCTATTATATATAAATAGTTACTATTATTAATAATATTTAAAAGCTTTTTTATTTAATTCCTCTTTTTAAAAATAAATATCTTTAATATAATATTATTTAACTTTAACTTTAAATATATTTTATTTTATTTATTTAATTAATTAAATAATATCTTTTATCTTTTAATTATATTGTTAAAAATTAAACCCTTTATAATTTAATACTTACTTAAATATATTATTAAAAATAACTTTTAATTATATTAAAGAATATTATTTATTAAATTATTTAATATATAAACCTTTTATAATATTAATTAAAAGATTATTTAATAATTTTTAAATAATTACTATTTATAAATTATATTATATAAATTAAATAAAAGTTAATTAAATATTATATATTAAGTTTTATTATATTTAATATTATTAATATAATTATAATTAATATATTTATTAATTTAATTAATAAATTTAAACTTATACTTAATAATAATATATTTAATTATATTAACCTTAAAAATATTATTTTAAATTTATTACTTAAATATAACCTTTTATTTAAAAATTATATTATATTAAATATTTTTAACTTATAATTATATAACTTATTTTTAAAAATATTAATAATTAAATTATAATATTATAAATTAATTAATAATTACTTTATTAATTTATTTTATTAAAGATTAATAATATTTTAATATATCATATATATTAATATTAATAATAAAATTTAATATTAATAATATTTTATCTCTATAATTACTAATTTATCCTTTTATATTAAAATTAAGCTTTAAATTTTATTTAAAATTTTATTTAAAATAATATTAAAAATATTTTTATAATTTTATAAATTTATAATAATTAAATTTAAATTTATTCCTTTTAATTATTAGATTATATATAAATAAATTATAAATAATTAAAGTAATAAATTAAATATTTAAATTATAATAAAAGAGTAATATAACTTTATAATATTTAATATTTTTTATTAATAAATTTAACTATTAAATCTTTAATATTATAATAGTTTTAAAAAATAACTTAATATAATTAAATTTAATATAAAAGTTAATAAAAAAGTTTTATTTATTAATATTTTTATATATATTTTATAATTTTATTAATTATTCTTAATATAATATATATAATTAATAGTTTTATAATTATTATAGATTAAAAATATATTTTATAAAAATTTATTATTAAAATATAAATATTTTTAAATAACTTATTATAAATATTATATATATTTAATATTTTATTTTATTTTATAAATTACTTTTATTTAAAGAAATAATATATAATAAAAGTATATATTTATATAGTTAATAATAAAAACTTTAATATTAAATTTTTTCTTTTATTTAAAAACTTATAAATAAAACTTAAAATAAACTATATTAATATTTAATTAAAACTAATTAAATACTATAAAAATATTATTAAACTATAATTATAATAAATTTATATTATAAATTAAAATTTATTTATTAAATATAATTATTTTATTATTTAAATATATTAAAATAAATAATAATTATAAAGTTAATAAAGTAATTCTATTTATTATTAATAAAATTTTAAATTTTAAAATAATTAAAATTATTATATTAAATAATTATTTTTAAATTATATATATAATAATAAAGATTATATTTTAATTATTTTAAATATAATTTAATATTTTATAAATAGTTTAATATAAAAATAAATATTAAAACTTAAAGATATTAATAACTAAATATTTTATTAATAATAAATATTATATTTAAATATTATAAACTTTCTACCTATATTAAATAAAAGTTTATAATATATTAAAATATATTCTACTTTATTTATAATTTAATAATACTTTTAATATAAAATAAATAAATAAATATTTATATTTATATTTATTAATTAAACCTTTAAAATAATAAACTTTTATTAATATAAAATAAAGAATTTATATAAAAACTTATTAATAAAAATATTAATAATTTAAATATTTATATTATTTAAAATAAAATATAATTTTATAATTTTTAAATAAATAAATTATTTTATATATAAAGTTATATATTAAATAAAAATAATTATAATTATTTATACTTTTTTATTAATAATTAAATTTTAAATAATTTAATACTTAATTTATTAATTTAAAAATTATAATAAAAATTATAAATATTAATATATTTTTTAAAATTTATTTATATATAATTAATATTATATTATAAATAATTAATATTAATAATTAATTTAAATAATTAAATTATATTATTATATAATTAAAAGTTAATTATTTTAAATAAATTAAACTTTAAAAATAAACCTTCTTTTAAAAATAACTATCTCTTTTTTATTATTATAATTAAATTACTAACTATATTAATATTAAGTTTATAAATAATAATATTTATTAATTTAAAAATTATAAATAATTAAATTACTTAATATATTAATAAAAATATATTTTTAATATAACTTATATATTTATTTAATTAAAAACTTTAAAAATTATATATTTAATTTTATTTTTTATTTTATATATATTATAATATAATCTTTTTATAATTTTTATATTTAAAATTTAATATTTTTAAAAATATTATTATAATATTAAAATAATTCTTTTTTAACTTTTTTATTATTAAAGTTACTTTTAATAAAGTTTAAAGGGTAGTTATTATATATAATAAATGTATATTTAAAATTAAATTATATAATATTTAATATTATATTTAATATTATTATAATTTTAATTTATTAATTAATTAAATATAAAAGTTTAATATATTTAAAAACTTAATAATTTAAATATATTATTTTATATATAATTATATTAAAAATATTAATTATTATTAATTTATATTAAATATAATATAAATTAAATTATTTTAATAATTATTAAAATATAAATTAATTATAATTTTTAATATATATAATTATATATATAATAAAATAATATTAAATAAATTATTATATAAAAATAATTTTAAAAATAATAATATTTAATAATAAATAATTAAATTAATAATAATATAAATAAATTAAAGTTTATTTAAATATAACTCCTCCTTTTATTATAATTATAATTATATTTTAATTATAAACCTTTATTACTTACTTCTTATTCCTTACCTTCTAACTATACTTATATAAGGTTTAATAGTTACTAATATTTTTAAGTATAGACTCCCTACCCATTCTAAGTAGGGAGTTTATAGCTAAAGGTGCGGACTCAAGGAGGTCTGTGTGTTAGAGATAAGCTTGGCCTAGGCTGCCGCCGGTCAGTGCTAACTTATTTTACAGCACACAAGCATCCAAGAACTTCCCTTACAAAAATCTACACTTTGTTCGCTACCCAGGTATGTAGGCAATCATATTATTTAGCTTGTTGGATTGCACGGCTCTTAGCTACGACTGGGATATTCCGCGCCGGGAAAGTAGAACGACTCCGTACTCAAAAAAAAAAAAAAAAAGATCTCATTATTGATACATACAGCGAGAGGATCTCACCTCAACTGTCCGTGTCCGAGGTGTTTATTTTAAGCAGAGTCGAGGATCATGCTATGCACTGACCCTATCGCCCATGATAGTGCTGCAGTATACAAACAGCACATGTGCGGCCATACGTCCGACTCTCAACGGCCTAGCTGAATGTGGCACACTTGGATCCTGAAGTCTGGCCCTGCACGATTCCTCTTTTGAGTTATTTTGACTGGAGGACCTGTGAACAGAGGCCGAATCAGAATTTGCAAGTGTTATTGAAATGTGTGTCTTGGTATAGGGGGGTTATCTACTCTACTATTTATTGTATGGCGGCTTGTCTGCCAAGAGGCTCTGCTCATCATCGTCATCGTGTTAGGCAGCCGCATCTCACTGGGCTACACTAAGACTTTTGTGCCTGACCCCTAATTGCAGACTGGGTGCCTAGGTATCGCGTTGGGGCGGGTGGCACCTGGCATATGTCGGTATGCGGCGTCTCGATTGCGCCGCAACAACGACGATCCACTGGGTCTGGCCAGCCAACCAGGCCGACAGACCGACCGGCTGAGAAGAAGATTCAACAGAGACTTTTGGGAGACTGCCCCAATAGCCTACCAATATAGATCGAGGTGTCATATGTCACCTCAGGCTCTCGTCCTGCTGCCCCTTGCCACCGCAGCTGACTACAGCATACTTGGGCCTTTTTACCTGATAGCAGAATGGGGGCCCGCTCCCTACTCGACACTAACAGGCCGGCTTTGGCCCTCAGCCCCCCTGGCCCGCCCAAGGATCGGCCAGATGCATCCATCAGCCAACTCCCGCCCCCGACCCGCATGCCCTGATCGTTATTTATACACCAGACTCGGCATGCGCTAGTCCTTCCGGCTTACACGAGGCCGCTCGGGTGGGACTGTGGGACTGTGGGTGCACCTTACGGACTACCGCGCTGTCCTGGCTGCAACTGTTGTTTCTTGTCCGGCCTGGCCGCGGGCCCCCAAGCCCCTCCCCCCCCAGCCAACATCGCCATTAGCACAACACCATCAGGATCGACATAGCACGATGCTACCAACAGTTGAACGTATGCATGCCTGCGTATCTCATCCTGAAGTCCCCAAGGGCCAAGGGGGCAAGGATGGTCCAAGGGGATGGGCCTAAAGCATTCTTGCCCTCAACTTGAAGTGCTCTCCTGATATTCCCTGGTCCCCTCGCCCTCGCTCTCGCCCTCAGTCAGCCTTGACTGGGCTTCCCGGCCCTTCGTGTGTATCCCAAAGGATTCCTGCCACCCTCATCCTGCCCTTCCATCCGAACCCCTCCTCTGGTCCCTCTGTCCTTCTTGCCCTCGACTTATATCATGACCCGTCTCCTTCCGTCTCCCGTCCCTTCGGCTCGCCTCTCTGATCTCTGATCCCCTTCCTTGGCACCTCGCAGCCCTGACTGCAGTCTTGACTTTGGAGTGAGCCTTGACTCGATCCCACCGCACAGCATGGACCGGCAATCGGGCTCTCACTTGCCCATACCCGTGACGCCAAAGGAGAGCCCGTCGCAGGAACCCCTCCTGACCCCCCAGAGGCAGAAGAGGAGGAGCAGGGAGAAGAGGACAAGCTTTGGCCTTTTTCCAAGGCAGAAGACCTCGCCAATATGGAGGCCATCCACCGGCCACTCGCCACCTACACCGCAGTGGCCGCTTCCGCGCATGCCCATACGCATTCACGACGAGAACCCAGCCGTCACCAAGACCTATACACAGCCTCGTGATGCGCCGCTACCTCCGCCTCCCCGCGCAAACAGCATCCGGAGCAGCACCAGCAGCACCGAGACCCTGGCCAACGATCCCAACAGGGGCCAACGGCCGCGCGATCAGCCACTGTCCTCACCATCCCCCACAAACCCACACCACCCGCGCTCTCCGCGCTCTCCCTCCCGCTCCCCCTCCAGCCCTCCTCGCCCGGCTTATTTCCCTCCGAATCACCAGCGCGGGGGTAGCGGCTTTCAGACAAGATACCTGAACATGCTGCTCAATCTGGACAAGATCCCGCGTGCTCACAACATCTTCTCCAATCTGTTCGCGTGGCTGGTCCTTCTCGCCTTTGTACTCGCCCCCTGCAACTTCACGGGCTTCCCGGCCGACAGCTCCTTGATGGTGAGCGATGACGAAAGCCCGTCGTCCATGCCGCTGACCACGACCGCCACCCTCGCCAAGATCCCGTCCGTTCCCCTGCTGGCCGTCTGCTGCGCCGCCTTCTCCCTCGGCGTCCTGGGGATGTTGTGGCTCGCAGTCGTATGGAGGCGGAATTACATATGGCTGATGAACCGGATCTATCTACCTCTTATCCTCAACAGTCTGGCGGGCTTCATCGCAACCATGGTGGTCGTCCACGTGCAGCATGGTTGGCACTGGTCCGTTGCGGCCCTGGTCACCGTCTCAATCGAGGGCGCCAGCCTGGCAATTGGCCTAAGCCTGTTCGCACTCTATCAATACTGGCTCCTGGCCAAGCTCAAGAGAGAGCATTACCGGGAGACCAGTAGGAAGAGGACCGTCGACCTTGTCAAGGCCGGAAAGGCACCTCCATTTGCGCCAGGAAGTGTTGTATGATATGTAAGATGTGTAACGCTTTTCCCTTCTGCGCGATGCGCCATGTATTTTTGAATCTTTTTATCTAGAGCAGGGTGCTTTGGTTTTGGTGGCGTATTCAAGGGTTGCTAAAGGTCTCATGATGTTTTTGATGCGGGGCAATGAGATACCATGGTGTTATAGGTACATACACACACACTGATTTATTCGCATTGGAAATGGTAGATATCAAATGCGATGGTCAAGCATTGCGTTGCTCAAAAAATAGAGCCAATCACACTACCGCTTGCCTATATACCTACACACAAAACTCATCACGTCACATGTCATGGATTGAAGTTGTCTGAGCCAGTCTGATGTCATGTAGTGGTGTCTGCGACGGTGCTTCTCCTGAGACGCTTGCTTCTCCGAGATGAGTGCGAGAAAATTCATCCTCGCGCGTATTCCGGTATAGATGGATTCCCGAATCCCTGGGAATAAAGCTAAGGCAGGCGATACAGTAACAAGGATTATCCCAAGTCGGCTACGCTGTTCTCAACGAAAACACGCTCAAATTCTCAGCGTTCTCTTTTTCATCGGCGCCATGTCATCGTGCATTATCTTCCCAGCGCACGATTGCCACCCTCCGGCCAGATTCTGAGCAGATACGCCAGTTCTTAGGCATGTGCTTGAGGACGGTCTTCAGAACCAGACCATCCAAGGTTCCCATGACTCTGTGATAAAACAAAAGAGAGAAACAACCTCGAGATGAAATGGCTCCCACAAAGCTCAAGGGTTGTGAAATGGTTTCAGGAACGGGCTCAGGCACCTGCCATCACGTTCTCTATTCGCTGCGGGTCTCCTGGCAGATCGATCACTCCAGACATGGGCCGCACCCGGGGGTTGGGGGGCAGGCGGTCCTTGCAGTAAAACATGAACTGGTTCCAGCGCGTCGTAGGTGTCCATAGGAATTTCTTGATTCGTCAACGGCGTTTGGGCATATCCGGTGAAGGCTCCAGGGCTTCCATGAGCGCGTGCCTAACACTTCTGATCATCAGGCCATGCGCAGGCTCCGTAAATTCTGCATTAATCAATCTTGGTTTGAGAAGCAACATTGGTGATATGGACACATGTTGAGACCATATCCAGGCTCATCATGTTACAGCATTTGTCAGGCAAATTGCACGGGTCGGGTTGACCTTCGGGGCGGTCATGAGCACATGATCAATTCGTTCAAAGCATAGCTTCAAATGTTATGGACAAACTTCTTTCGCACTTTAGCTCAGTTGACAATGTTTCTTTCCTCTCCTGAACGCAGTCAAGCAAGATGTGCCTACCGTTGTCTTCATCGAAGTTCATCTCAGGATTCCAAAATTATCACTGTCAGTGGGGCTTCTGCATAAATCTGAGTGATGGATCTGATTCTTCTAGATACATCTTGACTGGTGGTCCGCTCGATAGATTTGCACGACTTTTACTTGTTGCTATGTGTCTCCAAGTTTGTTCAAACCTGTCAACCTCGTCATAGTGTTAAAAGGCGGTGCCAGAATCTTCCATGAATAAGCTACTCTGTACAAGCTTTCTAGGTCTTGCTTTTCGTGTAGACCAACTTCGCTCGGGTGTCCCTTGTGCGGCCACATTATCATTCTCCAATCCCTAACCTTCTATAGGATAATACCCGTGAACAGCGTGGGTAAAGTTCCTAGAGACATACATCCCGTGGGGTCTTGAGCGTTTACCACCGTATAAGGCGCAAAATATGTCCTCAGACGTATGCGGAATAGAAGCGAAGCCATATGCATCTCGTAGGATGATTTCTTATACTATGGCCTCCTAATTCCCCACAGGAGAGCATCCGTTTAGACAAGAACCCAGAAGCAGGGGAATTCTATACAGGATCTCCCTTATGATGACATGTGATATTCTAAGCTTCCAAAGTTTGGAAGATGGGATTGACACAGCAACAGTTTACATGACAAATCCGGTTCTTCGCAAGCTGATGTGATCAGACAATGGCTGTGAGAACAGAATGCAATTTCATGTTGCCCATCGCCATTTCCGGGAGCCTGCAAGTATTATTTTGGTTGAAGCGGAGTCCCAACGTCCTCTTCCCGAAATTGAACAAGTAAAGATCCGGTCGAAAGAATCGACAGCTTGTATTGGTGTGAGCCAAAGGCGTTATCCCGCGTCATCTGCAGGCGAACACCCGCAGGGCCTTAACCGATGTCCGTAAATGCTGTAACGACGACCTATGATAGAAAACATGCTGGGTGTCAGAAATTACTGAGAGTTCCTAAAGACATGGGCATTTATTCCTAAAGAGGTACGGCAGGTACAACACAAAGCCACCGGAATATACTGAGGATTCCAAATCCAGACACCTGAGGCCTGGCACCAGACCTAAGGAGAACTTGGCACGGCCGTGATAGCCAACCAAGCCCAGCGATGTCACAGTGAAGATAGATATGCAGCCTCGTTCCAAGATTGCTGTAGGTTTGTGCGTCCCGTGGCCACATGAATGGAACCATGCTACCTGATTGTTACACGTCACCAGCCGCGCAGGGCATAGTGGTTGCCTCGAGTCCTATCTTACGGCGGCTCGATTGATATCACTCCGGCCAGGGTGTGCACGGGAGATCGACAAAGTACTTAGTACTTTGATAAACCGAGCCGCAAACACTAACCTAACTCGCTCACTTCATTCGACTAAGTACCTACTCAAGTACCTACAGCGTCTAACCTAGCACGGGGGCACCCGCGGATACTTTCTCCAGAAAACCCGCCGAAACATAAGCCAGACCATAACGAAAGAAGAAGAAGAAAAGAAATCTAAGACGGGTACCCACTGCACCTGTGGAACGACATCTGGAACATCCGGAATTTCCTGACCCGCCTGACAAGCAAGCGGCCCCAAACAGGGCCCGGAACATGATTGTCCGCGGGCTTAGAGCGAAGCGACACAACACCCAAGATACTGCGCCATAATCAGAGCCACCCGGAAACAAAAGGAAGAAAGACAAGAAGAGAAAATTTTGAAGTATCAAATAACTGACGATTGTGGGTATCGGTCCGACGTGTGACGGTGGAAAGGGCCGCGGCCAAAAGTGCAGGCACACCCCCCCCCGGCTCCGAAATCATCTCCAAATCGCGTCGTTCGGACCGGTGAAGATCGCATGGCAGGGGAACAGTGGAGTCCCAAGCATGCAGACGTGCACACACACACACACACACACACACCCCTTCATTCTAGGGCTAGGATTTGGGGCAACGGTTACCACCCGAACTGCTCGCAGTGTAGCTCGACGCCGGGACCATGGCCGCTGATCAGGCTGGCGGTCGTGTCCCTGACGACGCGCATGAGCCCGTCGGGCCCGCATGCCGCGACCAGCACACGCTGGTTCTGTGGTGTTGACTGCACGGCCTCACTGATCAGCGAGGCGGTATCGGGCCGGCCGGGCTTGAGCACGTCGCGATGCTCGTCAGCTGTGGACGAGCCTGAAGCGCTGTACGCAGTGGCCAGGCTTGAGTCGCTTGGCATCCGCTGGCGATGGTTTCGTTGGTCCGAAGTCTTCTCTGGGTCTGCCGTGGTTTCGTTGCGGTCCCTGTTCTCGGTGATGAATACCCCCTGTTCGAGGGCCTTCTCGTGCATCTCGTGATCATCCGATTCCCTAGTGAGACTTTTGTCGGAGGCTTGGCCTGAGGAGGCGGTGGTGGCGAGGCGGTGCATGTGACGGATGTCGCTGATGAGGACTGAGCCGCGGCGCTGTTCTGTTGAATCGTTGGCTGGGGCTGCGGTGACATACAGCGAAACGTTGACCTTGGGTGAATGCTCGTGGGTCCGGAGAGTGTTGAGGTGCTGGGAGAACCACGCAAGATTGTCTGTGCAGGTGGGAATGTCAGCCTCGACAACAGAGACAAGGTTTCAAGCCAAGACACAGAGGCGAGAACCCGGCTGACACGGATCTCGTGCTACAAACGAGAACGGAGGAGCTTCAACTAACCTTGCTCCCTCACTGCCCAGATGAAGGTGATATGTTTCGAGGAATCGGGTCCCATTCTCTCCAGTAGATTGACAGCGAGGCCGAAGGTGAAACTAGCACCGCTGCCACCGGCGATCAAGACGACTTTGTCATACCCCATCGGGTCCGGGAAAGTGCCATAAGGCCCATCGACCGAAGCCTTGAGCCTGGCACCAGGATGTGCCAACGCGTACTTGCGGAGATCACGAGTGAAGCCATCATATGAGTTCACGACAAACTCCATGGGCTCGCTGGCAACAACGGTGAAGGGATGTGCTTCGAAGAAGCGGATCTTTGGGATCCACAAAAAGCAGTGCTTTCCGGGGACGACCCCGTAAGGTCTTTTCGTTAAAGTGATCTTGGTGCCACCATTCGGGAGAGGCTCAATTATGGCCTCGTTGTTGACAGCGCGGAACCATAGCCTCGAGGCGCGAAGAATGCGGTCGGCGCCCCACATGGCGGCGATGAGAGCGAAAATGATGATGAGCCCGTCCTCTAGTGCTGGCTGGTGAATTGCCGAGCAGACAAGAGCCACGATGAAGAACAGAATGTGAGAGACGTAGAAGGCCTCGTACCAGATACGTCGAATAATGACAGCGGAGGCGAGCACACCGAGGAAGGCAAATCCAGCCACGATGCCTGCAATGGAAGTTTTTGTCTCCAGCATCTCGGCACGGTCATTTATGAGGAAGTAATGTGAGTACATGGCTGCATGGAGCACCAAGTAGACAAAGGATGTGTATCCGGCGATCTGATGCAGACCGTTCAGGCGCTCGTACGAGTAGGCGGAGAGGAAGGCCAGCGGTGTGTTCTTGAGGGCCAAGAAGACCACGACGGCGAAATTTGCCGAAAGGACCCTGGAAGAAGCTTTGTCAATGTTGTTCTGCAGTGGTTCCAGGTTGCGAGGACTCACCATCCGCATCTATTGGCGAGGCTCGAGTACACCAGGGTAACGTTGGTCAAAGTGGCTGCCAAGTTAATTGACAAATATGCCGCGAACAGGAGGGCATGGCCACTCGACGTGAAGCCAGGGATCTTTCGAACGAGGATGTTTCTGACACTCCTATTTGGAGTTAGTCGTGTGACGTCGTGGTTGTGGGAGTGAAACAACTCGCCTTGTGAACAACCTGAACGGGTACGTGACGCCAGAGTTGGACCTTGCTTTCGAGTTTGCCTCGTGGAAAATATACCGGATCCAATGAAAGACGATGAAGAGTCCCATCAGAGCACATATGCCTGCGGCAAAGTACCGAAGCTGTTGCTGGTTCACGCGAAGTCTCGCAGCGAACATTGCTGGCGTCATGGAGCTGGACCCCGTCATGGTGGCGATGGTCTGTGCCTATGTGCGTAATTATCAAGCAGGTTCTTGTGGTGGAGGATGGAAAATGTCAAGTTGAGAGGGGTATTTGAAGCAGATGGTCGTAGAGGCGTGGGATATCGGCTTTTGAAACAAGAACAAGAACAGAATATTTTTTCGCGTCGAACCCGGACCTGGTTGCAAGCGTGCGCGGCCTCAAAGCCTCTATATGGGGGCGGACTGATATTCCGACCGGACAGGACCAAGACCCTGGATATTGTGAACGTAAGGATTCACGCTGGCTTGACGGGGCAATCAACTCGTCTCAGGTTGACAGGGAATATAAGATCCAAATCACAAGAACGCTCAGCCGGAGATGGACCCAGGAGTCAGTTACACAATGGGGAAGCGAGCATCGATCGTGCAGAGATCGAGTCCAATATATCGACAGAGGCAGCATGCACATGACGGATGGGGGATGAGGTTGGGACGCAATCTGGCACATGCTGCCACACAGATCAGTGTACCCAAACCTCGTCGTCGGCGGAGCGCATGGCTGGCGAGGTAGCATCAGGGTAGCAGGGCCCATGCCCGGAAGAGCCTGAGGTCCCACACCGAACATGATGAAAACTTGGTCTTGATGCTGATTTTGGGCCCGTCCGGGCACCGTCGTCCGTCCCTGTCAACATGTGGCAAGGCCTCCTCCGCGACTAGAACGAGTCTTCGGGATGACCCAGGATTGGACGGGTCGCTTGATAAGAGACGCCCACGCTGTCACAGGCGTTACAAGGGTGCGGCTGCAACTTCGGATCAGGGACAAGGGCGTACCCACCCATGCTGCCATGGCTACCGATGATAGACGTGCAGAAACATGTTCCTCAGCGACCGCACTCGCAGGGTCCAATCGAGAAGGTCACAATTGTGTAAGCTTGACAAAGCACCAAAGGGGAAGAGTGCTCAAGCAGTGTACACGTATGGAAGCCTCTGGGACGTGATCATCCGGACTTTGAATTTCTGTCAAAGAGAAGGAGGGCAGGCTGATTGGCCCAACTGCAGGAGGCAATATGGGTAAATCTACCCGAAAGGCCGCAACCACACTCGAGGATATTCGGAGGTAGCACATGACCGGACGGCCAATGCAGAGCCATAGGGTCTTGATAGAGTGATACACAGACAATATCTCTCCTGTGGCCCGGGGTCGATCACATTGGGCGGGACCCCCTGGCCGGAGAGGACCTGAGATGACATGTGCCTCTCGGTTGGTGCATTTCAGACAGCGGCAGATCGGCGGCCTCGCCGGCTGGGCCTGGCCTGGCCTTGGGCATAAGGCAGAGCAATATACAGTACAGCACAAGGGTGCAGCAGCGTGGTGCTGTGCGGCCTCGAACCAGCTCGGTTCCAGACTCCAGGCGCAGGTGTGGGGCCCACGGCACGAATGGTGTGGGGTAGTTTGATGGACATTTCACAGCATTGATGTATGATCGAGATTGTAATTAATTTGACGCCTGTGGTGGAATGTCCATGCATGTGCGCATGCATGTTTGCTTGACGACACGCTGCATGAGGGCGTGCGCGCACAGTAAGCAGGCTGCGTTGCTGGGGCAAGGCAGGGCGGCGGCGAGGGAGACGACGGCCAGCATGCTCCAGGCAGAGTTGAACGGCCGAGGCAGGGTGTGGGGGACATCCGCCTTGCGAAGATGTCAACATGTTGACGTGGAAGTGGCTCAGCCGGGATGGATTCCCGAGGAGGAATGACGTCCCGGCAAGGAGCCGCAAGGAGCCGCAAGGGGCAGCAGGGTACGCAAGCAAAAGAATGACGATGAAAAAGAAGACCCGAAAAGAAGATCCGAACGGGGAACAAACCGAAAACAAAAAAAAAAAAAAAAGAGAGAGAGAGAGCCGAGGGTAGTGGGTACAGCCGAGGATAGTGGGTGAGAGTGGGCAGGCCGGAGTCCGGGCTCTTGGCGTCTTGGTGTATTCGTGGTGGTGTATTCGTGGACGGGCTGGTCGTCAGATTCAGGGGCAGGCGCAGGATCTGGGGAATTCCGTGTGGTGAGTTACACAGGGGCAGGCTGGGCAGGGAGTCGAAACGACGGTGCTGAACACTGAGGGCCCCCTGCAGAGCGGTGAAGAGGCCGTCGACCAAGGGGAGCCGTCACGCAGCGACACCATGTCGAGGGTGCGAGGGTGAGGACGTCAGCCAGCGGGGAGCTGCAGGTTTGACTGAGCCGTGCAACGGTGCAACGGAACACGGCCAGCGGCGTCAGCGCCCACCCGGCGGGCCTTGTTTCCCAGCTAGGAAGTTGTCCAGCCACAGAACACGTTTCCTGATGGGACGAACCGGTGCGTGGGTGCGTGGGTGCGTGGACGGCAACAGTCAGTCGTCGAGCAATGTGCCAAGCAGTTGTCGTGATAAGGCGGCGAGAATCAGGCAGGTCGCATTAAGCTTGTTATCGAGCGGGCGTTTATCAGGGGAAACAAAAAACCCCCACATGTTCCGACACGGCGCTTGGCAGCAAGAGCACCAGGGGCCCGGGCCGCCCAGGGGCCAGGACCCAGTGTCCATGGGTCTGGGTCTGGGTCTGGCAGGGGTCGCGCCTGTCACCCCACGAGCTTATTCGGACGTCTGCCTGCGACAGTCTGCCTCTTTTCGCCTCTTTTTCGCCTCTTGTCCAACAGCCCTCTGCCATCTGGGATCTGCCATCTGGATTCAACGCCATACCCGACAGCACCCGCCCGAGATCACCACCCGGATGCCGAAACACCACTGCCACTGGCGACAAGCCTGTGTGCCCCGGGCTGCCCCGGGCTTGCTAATGTCTAATGTCACATTCCCGATGAGACGAAGCGCGCGCTTCGTCACCATCAGGCTCACCCAGCCGTCTTGTCCTGCTGCCGCGCACGTTGCTGCACCTGTACACCTTCCCTTTCCACGATGGGCGCCAGTGGGGGCATAAGCTTGTGTGTGCATGCTTCTCGTGGGGGCCACTGATTCCATTTCCGCTGACGCCTCTCCACGCCTTGCTGTAATCTCCCTTGCGAGAACAAGACACGTCTCACGGGCCTGACGCCTCAGGGCCTGACGCCTCAGGGCTTGGTTCGCTGACCCCCTTTGTGCTTCTCCAGTCTCAAACACCGCCTCATCTTACACCCTGGTCCTACCACAAGATTCTCCTTGTTTTCCCGAACATGACATCGCATTTCAATTTTAACAGCTATGATCTCCCGTCGGTCTTCTGGCCGGCTAGTCCCGACGAAATAATAACACTTCTCAGCAGGGTCCTTTAGTAAAAATAGTTACTTTCTTTAAGTCTTACTTATTAGATATAATCTACCCTTTATTATTATATTATAATTTTATTTATATTATTAAAGAATTTTAAATTAATATAAGTTAAGATTTTAAAAAGTAATATAAGAATAATATAAGAATAATATAAGAATAATATAAGAATAATATAAGAATAATATAAGAATAATATAAGAATAATATAAGAATAATATAAGAATAATATAAGAATAATATAAGAATAATATAAGAATAATATAAGAATAATATAAGAATAATATAAGAATAATTCTTTTATATTTTTAATAAAAATATTTAAATTAATAGTTATTTAAATTTAAAATATTAAATTAAATATTATTATTTTTATTTATATATATTTAAAAATATATATAATATCTTTATATAATAATATTTATTTAAAATTTATTATTTAAAAGAATATAATATTAATAATTATAATTATAATATAATAAATATTTATACTCTTAGTTTTATAATATATAAATAAAGTTAAAAAGTATTAAATATTTAGTTAAACTATTTATTACTTACTATAATTTAAATAATACCTCATTAAAACTTAAGATATAGCTTAATTTATTTTATTCTAAGGGGCTTTAATATAAATGGGCCGACCCGGTGAATGATTTTACTTAGAAAAGCCTGCTTAACTCTGAGGATCCATGCTTGGGTGATTTGCCCCAGTTGGTCTCACGATACATCCAGGCTATCCTGGAATGACTTGCCTTGTTTTCACGCAAGTGACCTTGGGATCCACTACATGAGGCCTTGAACTTTTGAATGGACTCATCATCGCTGTTCCTAGAGCTACATAATGACTGCGGACCATCTCCGTTCGGGAAAACACGTCGTCTGAGACACAATCAAGTCTTTCGTTTGCGGACAGTCACCTTCCGAGCATGTAAGTGAAGGAGTATTGATTTGCCATTATCTTTTCAATTCACCGATCAGAGCTGGTTATGATTCATGTTGTGGACGACGATTCCCTGTAGAAGCGGGCTTGACTCGGATGTTGCGGGACAAACCAAAATCTCCATGCCCAGGTGGCGCCCCGGATTCTTAGTTTCAACTTGTTAGGCTCGCCCTTGCACTCCACTTGGCAGCGTGATCAGGTATTCCAATTTTTATATTTGACCGGAAGGTGACATACCGTGACCACCTCTTACAAAGTACATCTACCCGATAGTCCGCCGAACTGTACAACTTGGAACTTCCACGCAACGTGTATCATCCCAACTATTGTGCACCCCTCAGTTACTCTTCACCAAATTTTGACCATCTTCTTATTTCAATTTTCAGGAGAAACCAGTATCAGAATCATGAACTTATTTCAGCATCGTGGTAAGTGATTATCGCATTTTCAAACTCTTTTAAATCATAACCTCGTAGCGATCATAGGAAACACATAATTATTGATACGACATTTGAGAACTATTCCCTGCCACCAGTTCCCTGGTTCCAGCTGTCCAGCGCTAACCTCCAATCATTTCTTGATTCCTCGAGGCATCGATTTGGCGACTCATACATGTGACATTCCATCAATTGAACAATGCCGTCGAGTTGATGATTGAAATTGGCGAGCATCCTCCTGGTTCGTTCATTTGGCCACAACTCTCCGCCGTCCGCGTAGTTCGCCACGGTTCGAAGGGCAGCATAGACTGGGGTCTTCTTATCAAGGAGGAAATCGCACTGTGCGAGGAGGAACCGAGCGCTGCCTGGCTTGATATTAACCGTGTTGGCCCTTGGGAGATTTCTAACAGGCCGCGTATGTGGACCCCGATGGATTCCTAACAGGTCTCTGTTGATCGCTTTGGTTGAAGTCACACCCATTGCGGCTGTTTCCTCTTGCCTGGACATATCCCCATCGGCATCCGAGTCGTTAGGCCGCCCAGGATCCTCCGCGTGAGCTCCCAGCTTGAGGGCTTGTAGATCTTCGATACTTTTTTCGTACTTCGCAATCTCACCGCGGAAGTTATTAACGTTCAATTCGGCTTTTTCCTCAAGCTTTACCTTTTCAGCCTCTCTTGCTATATTGGCCTTCTCTAAGGCCTTCTCATGTCTCGTCTTCGCCTTTTCTGCTTCCTCCTCGAACTTCTGTCGCTGATCCTTCATTTCTGCCCTGAGCTTCCTCACTTGCTCTTCGGCAGCCAGTCTCTTGCTCTTTTCTTCTTCAATGCTCTCGGATTTCGCTGAATTGGCGGCTTCAGGCTTCTGAGACTCTTCCACCCCTGGCGTACCTGCGGTTTGGGCTACGGTAGAGGATGTGCCTTGATCACCTGCTTCAGTCCGCATGTCTCCATCAGAGTCATCCCATCCTTGGCCTTTGAGTTCAGCAGCCAAGTTGTATGAAGACCGTCGTGAAGCTGGGCTGATTGACAGGTCTGCACTGGTTGGAGACTCAAGCTGGAAGTCTTCTCCGGCTCCACTACTCGCACGTTCCTCGTCGATTTCGCCAAGACTGGGCTCGATTTGAGCCGAGGCAAGTGGCCCGTCGTCAGTAAGCGCAGGGTCTGTACCGACTTGAGAGGCATATTGGTTCTGGGGATCTTCCAAATTCTGAGGTGATTTTCTCCCCTCCTCGCTCGGTTCGGGTTGCATCTCTTCCTCGTGATCACTGGAATCACCAGTGGCTGATTCAGGTGTTGGAGAACTTGCCGGCAAAGGGACTCTGGCCGCGGTAGCCGCTGAAGGCGACCGAGAGGCAGGTTCTTGCTTGTTCTCTGATGCCTTTCGTGGCCGACTTCCTTTATCCTTTCCCATGTTGCAATCGACTCGATGAAATGCGGTAATCGAATGAAGTTGCAGGGTGGTTTAGGACCCGGAGGTGTAGAAGCTTTCGCAGTAGAGCAGAGATAATAATCGAAACAAGGTTTATAAAAAAGACTAAAACTTCCGCATGCGACTTCGTTTCAATTGTTTGCATTGGATTGTCTTTGTCAACAAAGAACGTCTGGCTCAAAGCAACCTCAAACCTTGGCCGGGGCAGGTGCGGCCGCGGGTTTGCCTAATGCGGCGGGAAGCGCAATAAAGCTGTGACGCTTACAGCTCGAGTACACCGTACCGCCTCCGCAGCCGTCACGGCGCACAATAACCATAGCACAACTACTGATCAGAGCAATTCAATCTGCACGCAACTCAGATCAAAGCCTGTAAACGAAAGCATGGTGCGGAACCTTGGAAGGTAAAGACCTGCAACCTCGCCAAAGCACATCAGTGCCGGTACTTAGGTACATACTTAAGTATGTGGTTTCGCTTCTATTCCGTATACGCCCGAGGACATACATGGCGCCTTCATACGGTGGTAAGCACTCAAGACCCAGCGCCTGGAAAGAATACGATGCCGATAACAATAATTATAATAGGATAGGTGATACTTAAGTATGTAGTCTTAAAATGAGGAATTCGATTTTCAAGATCCGATACCTGGTTGAACTTCAAATGAACGACTCTAATTGCTAAACTTTGCCTTGTGCCGCAGTCTTGGCGCTTCGGTTAAAACAGTCCCCAGTCTGCCGTGCAGATCTCTGATCTGACGACCTTCAACGGCTGCCTTCGGAAGACATTCCGGCGTCTGGGACTTGCAGATATCCGCGGGTGCACTGTCATCAGACCTGTGCGAGTCTGCGGCAACCGGAATTTGCTTCTGACCAGAATGTGAAGCCTTTTTCTCGGGCCCGTCATTATCAAGACGCCGAAGGACCTCAGCGATGGGAACGCCACCTACCGAAGCCAGACGTGTGCCACTTCCATCCTTGCCTGACGGTGATTTATACTCCACCTCCAGGTTGTCCTCAATTGCGGCAGCAATTATCATAGCCTCCAATGCTTCCTGTTTTCTGCCTGACTTTTCTAGAAAGTCAACAATGGCCAGCTGGGCATCTTGTTCCAGGTCAAGGCGGTCGGCTTTTTTCGCCACCGTTATTGCAACCCTGGCATGCGATAGGCAGAGCTCGAAAGTCTCGCGGGACCCGTCTTTCTTAGATTGATCAAAGGCCTCTTGGGCTGCTATCAGGTGGAACTTGAACCGGCGTTCTCGCCCGCTACTAGCTAGAGCTTGCTGCTTCGAGTCCTGCATGAGAAATTAGGAGACGAGGTGATTTCGTATCCTTTTTGTGACCTTGTGAGCCTATTCCTTTCTTAATTTCTGAGCCAAAAAGTGTGATAGGTCAAGCATTGAAAATATCATCGTGGCTGCCAGTAGGGCCGAGTGACCTCTGTTTTTAAGTCGAGGTAAGGGAAGAAAATCTTACAAGGACTTTGTCTGGTGACCGAAAGAAATGAGCTAACCGCGTTCTACCTTTATTTTCAATGTACGAGACACAAAGCCATACTTATAAAGGATGCTTGATGATAGATCTATTTTGAAATATTCTTAAATTCATACGGCTGAAGACTTACATATAGAAATATACCAACCTTAGAAATAGATCCACGCTAAAGCAAAGCTTTAACAACTTCCCTTTCTCACCCCCTCCCCCACGAAAGAGGGCTCATGCGCGTCGGTTTTCGCTATGTCTGGATTACCGCGGGACGAACTTTCCGCCTCATTCAACTGGGTACTCTATGGACGGCAGCCGATGCTGCGGTGCCAGACAATATAGCAACGAATGATCAAAACAACCAAGCAGGACAATGGATTGAGCCTGCCCAGGTGAACAGCGCAGGAGGAAACCTTGGTTCGTATACTGTCTGACAGACTCGTGAGCTTTCGCAATGACTCGGCACCTACATTTGGTGAGCGAGTGCGTCATCGGATTGATTACCATGTACTTTTCAACATGATACTAACATATTTATAAAAGAAATATTGGTGTGTGTGCCTTGTCCCGAGGCCGCGTTCCAATACGGCCAATCTGTTCCCATGGGCTTCCTGTCGGAACCTAAGACCAAAGCAATAGCAGCTGCACGCAATTGTTCCACAACATTACCCTCATCGGCGTTCTATGAGTGCATGATAGCAGCCACCGTTTCCAGCCACGCCCCTTCTCATCACAGAAAGACCCTTATGGACGCCATAAATATGCAGGCTTGCAAGGAATTTTTGCCTTCTGGGACAGTCATGTGTGGCTCGAATCACTCGTTGCAGACAGCATGAATGCGTTTGCTGCACAACACCCTCCCCCAGCGCAAGAACGAGAGACCCTATGCGGCTATTGTTGGCCATGGTGTGGCAAGCAATAGTGCTATACCTCTGGCACACCCCACCCCAGACACCCCCACCCCCACCGTCACTGGACTCATCCATCATGCTACTCAGTGCTGCCTGTCCACTTTTGGCTGGCCCACCCGCACTAGGTACATCCGCTCATGGGCATACCTCTGACCAGGGCGAGCCTACTGGCAGAATTTTCGGAGAAACTGGACGAGATCGTGCAAGCTACTCAAAGTCTGCCTTCAGAAGATTTAAATTTTTTCACCCCAGCCATGATAGTGCCTGGGCCGACAAATATGAAAACCACGTATCGAGACCGACGTCAAAACACAAATCCTAGATCACAGCTGGATCCATTACATGACCATCATATTCATATTTCACTGCCACAACCCCTGCCGAGCCTCTTTTATTACAATAATACTAGGACACGCAATATTAACTTTCTAGTAATATCTACTATTAAATCCTAAATAAATTAAAGTTTTACTAGTTCTACTTTTATTTTATATATAATTTATTTTTATATATATTATTAAATAAAACTTAAATATATACTAGTATATAAAAGTATTATATATATATTTAAAAAATATAAAAAAGTAAAACTATTTATATATTATTAAATAAATTATATAAAAGAACTTAAATAATAATTATATATATTAATAGTTATAAAGTTTAAATAAAAAGAATATTATTTTAAACGGTTAGAACTATATTAATATAAGTAATAAAAATATTAAGTTAGTAGATCGGTCTACGTATATCCCCACTAATATATATATATTTCCTATTAAAAATATTAATTTTTACTATACTTTATTTAATTTTATAAAATACTATATAAATAAACTAATACTATTTAAAACTAAGCCTTTTATTTATAATAAAAGAAAATTTAAACTATTAATAAATATTATTATAAATTAAAAATAAATTATTAAAGTTTAATATTTTCTTTTAATTAAATAATTAATAATTAATATATAAATTAGTTAAAATATTATAGTTTTATTTTTAACTTAATTAAATTAAATAATAATATATATTTTACTATAAAAATATATATTATTATTATATTTATATATATATTATATATTTCTATTTATAGAAAATTAATAGAATTAATTATTAAAAATTTATAAAAGTAAAGTAGAAAGAGTAAAGAGATTTACTCTACTTTTCTTAAATTTTTAATAATTAATTCTATTAATTTTCTATAAATAAAACTCTTTTAATTTTAATTTTAAGTTTATAATTAAATTTTATATATATAATAATTAATAAATATTATTAAAAACTATTTTTATAATAACTTAAAGTTTTAAAAAAACTTTTTATATTTAATAAAAACTTTAAAAAAGAATTTCTAACTTTAAATAATTATTTTAAAATATCTATTTATTTTTTCTTTTATAAAAATACTTATATATAAAAGGAAATAAGAATTTTAATAAAGTAATTCATTTATTTCTAATATTTAAATAAATTTATTTATTTATAAAAATAAAGATTTTATATATTTTAATTTTTTTTAATAAAAAATATTATTTATATAATATAAACTATACTATTATATAAATATTTAATATATTCATAATATATATTTAATTTAGAATTATAAAACTTATATAGAATTAATAATAATATATTATATAGTTAAGAAAAAATATACATTAGTAGGGATGTGCGCAGACCGGTCCACTAACTTAGTTAAGGAGTAATAAAGCAGAGGAAGTCTTTTACAATTAGCTGAGACGGATCTGCTAACTGCTAGCCTAACAGACGCCCCGGCCAAAAGACCATAATTCCAAGTTGCCCTACTTGGAATTCTAGTACCTAGGTAGTTATAAGACCCGTACCGTCACATTAGCTATAGTTCTCAATCAACCATCCACGTAAATCACCGATAGTAGGATACTCCAAAAAAAGCCCACCACTGACATTCACTCCCAGGTTGTCACGGAATTTCTCAGCAATGACTAAGCTCATCAGACTGTCGACCCCCAAGCTGGCAAAGCTTGCTTCATCGACCAGGTCCTCTTCATCTATCGCCGTCTCGTCGGCGATGAGTCGCATGGCCTTGACAGCGACGCCCTCGCTGACATCGGCATCGGTGGTTATAGCAACAGGAGGCGGGAAGTTCTTTGCAACTGGCTGTGTAGGGGATGGAGCCTCTGAAGCTTCGCTCTTCTCGACACTTGGTGTCCACATTGGCTCTATTGGTGTAGAGGCACCAGAGGATGTGGTGGAAGCCAGCTGCGCTGGAAGCGGTGCGGAATTGGTCTTCAAAGGCTCCGATGCTGGCTTTGACGCAGGGGCCGACAGCGGCTTTGGCGGCGCACTGGCAGACGCTTTGGGAGAGCTGCTGGCCTGAGCAGCGTCCGGAGGCGAGAAGAACCGGTTGAGTAGGATGCGTGGATATTTCCGGAATGTGATCCCTCCGACCTTCCCCACAATGCAATTGCTCTGCATTATGTATACATCGCCCATGAAGACAGTGGGATCCTGCGAAGTAGGTGTCATCTTCACATAGGACTGGTATTTCTCACCGGCCTCCAGCTCAGTAGCAAATCGCATGGATTTCCATCCCGGAGTCACACAGAAATAGCTCTGGGTGTCCATGGCATCAGAACAATTCATGACAAAACCAGCCAAATGAGCGACGCTGTCAATATACTGGGGCGGTACTATCCATGACCCGGCCTTCTCATGTGAGAGAGTCACCTCCGCGAATGCCTCAAGCCCGTTCAGGACTACGGACTGCATTCCACGGTACTTGGAGGCATAATCAACCAGGTTGTTGCCAAACAGGCGATATGTCATGTTGTGGGAAAACCTTGTCGCCTCGCCTCGCACGGCCAACTGCTCCAGGGCTTCGATTCTGCTTTGGACCAGGTGGGACATGGGAGCCCAAGAGTCAAGCCAAGCTCTGGCGTCGCCAAAGTACAGCTCAGCGCTTGCAAATAGATCCTCAACATCCCCTGTAGACGCCACATTGTACCAACTGAGTTGTGCAACGCCCGAGTCGATGTTGGAGATCTCGGCGGATACACGGAACAACTGGGGTGTCTTGACATACTTTTGGGACACGAGGCCTTTGAGGACATTCAGATTGCGCAGATCCATATCAATCTTTCCTGAATAGGGTCTCATCTTCTTGTAAAGATAGTCGCCAAGCGTGTATGCAATGTCAGCGTGGATAGACTGGTTTCTCTTAGCGCAAATGGTCTTCAAGTCTTGCCAAACATGGAAACGTACCGAAGTTACAACACCACATCCATTCATGCTATGCCCATGGGCAGCGTCAAAGAAGTCCCTTTGCATCAGGTCTGACTGCATCACAACCTTCCCTGAGTCCGCGTAAACAGTTTCTTCCAAGATCTGATGAACAGAGGATGACCGGAGACTCGACTTGGGCATCAAAGTATTGGAAGTCTGGCTCTTGTCCTTATTCTGACCGACATAAAATGTGTTGCCCTTCGTAAGACACCAGTCCCCCTTGTACTGCATCCAGTAATTCTTATCGTTCCATGCGTAAGTAGGCAAGTCCAGTAGACGGAGTCTTTTTTCGAAGGGGCCGTGGAACTCGTTCCAGTTGAAGTCAATCCCCACCGAGTGTAAGGCTGACAATGATTCGGCGAGTGTCACCCAGTTATCTTGCTCTCTACGCATGGATGCCACAGTGATAGGGGTAGATGGTATGTTTGTTCTGACAAATCCCATACACACAGGGTGTGGTCCAATCTCGATCCATACCATTGAGTCCTCAATCAATCCCTGATCCTGGGCAGTGCCGAGAGCTCCGACAAAGTCGACTGTCTCACGAGTTGCACGCCGGACGTAGTTGGCATTAAGAGTTTTGCCGTCGCATACAACCTTGGAGAGTAAAGACGAGACAAACGGTATTTGTGGCTCCCTGAATTCGACAGCAGTCTTCGCTATCGCCTCGAATTCGTCGAGGATCGCATCTGTCTGTGCCGAGTGGAAGGCGAAGGCAACCTCTAGGACTTGGCATCGGTAGCCAGCGCCCTTGAGAACCAGCTCCAGCTTCCCAATCTCCTCCGACGGTCCACTCAAGACAATTTGCTTCGTTGCGTTAATGCAAGCAACTTCATAGGGAGCATTGCCTGCGGTTTTCTTGATATCGTCGAGTGTGGCAGAGACAGCCATCATTTTGTGGCTGCCGATCCGACACTTCTTTTCGAGAAGCTGTGCCCTCTTGCCCACCAAGTACAGCGCATCGCTGGCTGAAAGAACACCAGCAACATGCATTGCTGCATACTCTCCTAGACTGTGTCCGATGACCATGCTAGGCTGAATTCCCAGCAGGTTCCAATACCGGGCAAGTGCTATCTCCATGCTTACTAAAGAGAGCTGTGTCACGACAGGACCGTGGGCGTGATCTTGTGGGAAGCTCCCGTCGACTGCAGGAATGAAAGAGGGAAATCCTTGTGATTGCGCAAGTGAGTCGAGATTCTGTATTTGTAACCGATAGAATGGGCAATCGCGATAAAGCTCCAAGTTCATTGATCGGTAAGATGCACCTTGGCCAGTAAAAGCAAATGCGATCGGGTTCGAACCAGGAGCCGGGATTGGTTTCTGCGCATCAACGGCGGCTAGCTTGGATTCAAGGTGTTTTTTGACAGCCACTATGTCTGTGGCACAAACCGCGACACGATAGTTATGATGATGCCGACGAGCCGTTGTAGTGTAAGAAAGGTTTTCCAATGAAGTATCAGGGCGAGAATCGAGGTATGCGATAAGTCTCTTGAGATTTCCCTCAAGCGATTTCTTGCTCTTGGCAGAGACTGTCACAACGTGGGAGGTACGAGGATCAGTAACTTCTGGCTCCGGCCTGACTGGAGGCTCTTCGATAGCGATGGAAGTGTTTCCACCAGCGGCGCTGAAGTTGTTGACAACGGCTACCCTCTTCTTCCCGGGAAAACGGGGCCAAGGAGTCTGCTCGAAGGGAATATGGACGTTGCGCTTGGCCATGTCCTTGGGGAACTTGGTTGTCAGGCTGTTCTTAATACCAACATGGCGAGGAATGAACCCCTTTTGGAACATAAGCAGTACCTTGAGCAAAGCCGTAATTCCAGCTGCCGACTCGGAGTGCCCGACATTTGACTTGACAGCTCCAATGTAGAGCGGCTGTTTGGTGCTGCGGCGCCGGGCGCCACTACCCATGGGAGCGAACACATTTGTAACTGATTTGATCTCTTCCATGTCACCAGCTTGAGTTCCGGTGCCATGCATCTCCACAAATCCAACATCAAGAGGATCCACGCCGGCTCGGTTCATCACTGTCCTAGTCAGCTCTGACTGTGCTTCAGCAAGTGGGTGAGTTATGGATATGGCCTCCGCAGAGTGATTAGTAGCAGCAGATAGGATGACACCAAGGATGTTATCATTATCAGCCTCAGCATCCTCAAGCCTCTTCATTACAATAGACCCGACGGCATCAGCTCTGCAGTAGCCATCTGCCTCAGAGTCCCAAGTCTTGCACGCATTAGGGCCTGTTGTCAGAAAGTGGCCTTGGCCCAGGCCGGCGAAGCCATCACAATTTGTCAAAACGTTAACACCGCCAGCCACGACCGTATCGCAGTCACCAGCCCAGAGAGATGTACAGGCAGCCTGTCACGGGTACAGTCAGTGTTGGCTTATGCACGTAAAACTTACACAGTACCTGTAGAACGTACCTGGATAGTTGCCAAACTCGACGAGCAGGCAGTATCGATGCTGAAGCTAGGTCCCCAGAAGTTGAAAAAGTAGTTGATACGGCCAGGCACAAATGCTCGGCACCCCCCCGGGATATAGTAAGTAGAGACTTCCTGGCCCTGGTTAACTTCTCGGTAGTCATCTGCCGCCTGACCATAAAATGTTCCCACACGGTGAACGTGTGTGGAGGCGGTACGGTTTGGAACATATCCAGCTCGCTCGAGGGCCTCGTATGCAGTAACCAAGGCGAGTCGCCCCTGTGGATCAGTTTGCGCGGCTTCTTTTGGCGAAACGTTGAAAAATGGGGCATCGAACAGGCCTGGTTCATCGATGAAGCAACCATATTCCGTCGGGCTCTTGTTCAAAGATTTGCCTGTGGGATCAAAGTGGGTTGCAAGATCGAATCGATCGGCTGGGATTTTTCGATGCACATCAAGGCCCTGTTCCAGGAGCTGCCAGAACTTCTCAGTGTCGGTAGCCCCACCGGGAAGTCGGCATGACATGCCCACGATGGCGATCTTGGATTGTGCGGTGCCTCGTGGGCCCTTAGGCTCTGCATCTGGGCTTCTGGAAGCCCAGTCGATCAAGTTATGAGGTTTAGTCTCCAGGTTTGGGACCCCCTTCAGCGCAACTAAGAGGTCCTTGGTTGCTTGCGATTTGCCGAAGACTGAGACTTCAATGGCGAGCTCTGCAGTCTGAACGATTTGCTCGATGACGTTGTCAACGACAGCATCCCATTGAATTGCACGAGTCAGTAGCTCTGCAACTATTGCCTCAAACAGTCCTCTAGCTGTCTCAACTCTGTATGGCTTCCCAGTAGAAGTTGAAAGAACAGGCACGCGAGGCTTCAGCTGACAGTCCAGCAGCTCCATATGCTTAGTCTGGACCACGGCCTGCACATTTTTCTGTCCATATACATGTCCAGCATGGCAGAGGCCTCCATATACTGGCAAGTTTACGAACTTTCTATCCCGAAAGAAGTCGTGGTCACGGAACAAAGCCTTGAGCCTTGAAGGTGGTCCGCTAATGGTCACAGATGCTTTGCTTAGGGCACTAACAAAGATCTTGCCAGACTCGGGAATGTTCTGTGTAACCATTCAGTGGTTGAATCTTCATCGAAACTTTAAGCATGGGAAGTGACGCTTACCTCTTTCTTCCGATGAGCTTCAAGCTCGTTCTGTACGTCCTCGGGTGAAATACCAGGAATGACAACAGCCCACGTGTCTGATGAGGTCCCAGAAAGGTCGCGAGGCTCAAGGTTCTCTGAAACCTCGTCCACATGAGCGCCAAGTCGAAACGCAATCCTCACGACCTCTGCAGCAACGGAAGGAAGTTCTCCTAGAGTGGGCGCAAGGGAGACCGCCGCAGTGGCCAGGAGCCCTGTGCCCAGGCCAGTGAGCTTGGCGTTGACGGGGTCTATAGTAAACTCATCTGGGTGCTCTTCGAAGTAACTGCATGAATATCAGCGGTTGCAGCACGTCACATGAATACGAAGAAATTGCCGCGTACGCTATGAGAATTGAAAGCTGAAGAACGCAGAGAAGAACTCCCTCAACTGAACCACAAAGTTGGCCTTGGCGAAGCTGAGGGTGGTCGGCGAGATGAAACACATTTTCAAAAGGAGGGAATAAGGCTCTCTGAGCAGAGGACAGTAGCCGCAACTCGTCCCTGACGGCTGAAGTTGCGTCATTAATGAATCGAGCCAGCAGAGGATGGCCTCTGTCCTTGCTTCGAGTCGTAAGTCCGCGGTACAGGTCCTGTAGATCTTCATTGGGAAATTGGTTATCGAAGTATAGAAGCTTCATATTGAAAAGATGTCAAGTGAACCAAATCGAAAGAGGTCTTTCAGGCTGTGATCTGTCTAAATGTCGTGGAGTGAGGTCTAGACAGAACTCTCTAAGAGACTTGGTTTGCTAGCGTGGGCAGAATGCTGTCGAAGCGTTGACAGAAGCAAGTTCCAAGGTTGGCCTGTGTAGAGATTGCACTGAGGTTTGCCTCTTTATTGAAGAGTCAGGGTCAGTATGTGGCCATAAACACAAGGAAACTCTTTTAAGCCTATGTAAAGATTGCGCTGGCCATCAAGTTGGAAAATGTCTACCTACTCAGGCATGTTATATCGTGAACCAAGACCAATCGAGCAAAAGTAAATTGCCGCATATGCGATCAGGCATCATTATGGCCGATTTCCTGTCTTCGGAAATTCTGACAGCAATGCCAGTAGCTAGGTAGTCTTGGCACGGCCCTATTGATTGTACCTACCTAGGTACGCAGTATATGCCGGTTACCTGTGGGCCGGTACGGAAGGATAGTAACGCCGTGCTGAAGTCGGGATGCGAACATCCGCTCACCGAAGCGTCCCGAGGTCCACACGGCCCCACAATACCCCGACCAGATGCAGCACGCTGGGTCAATTTGAGACTTGTTTCCTGTGTCTTCGCAAGGGACTTGGAGCAACAGTGGCACAGACTTACGACTGATGGCTAAATGCGACATAGTCTAGGCTTCCTCATCTCAGTGTTAAGCTCAAATTGGTAAAGTGTTTGTTGTGCTGAATCTCCCGAGGTCTCCAGGGCTGGTATGAAAACTTGCTAGACCAGGGGGTGCAACCAGCCGCGCGCACAAGACAGATTGAAAGGCTACCTAGGTATAATCATAAGACATAAGTCATCTTAGACTTGCTAGGTTAAGCTCCTATACAAGAATCCGAATTAGAGCACATAGCATCTCTTTTGTCTGGCAGTAACCTGGAACGGAGACCCACCTAGGTATTAGTCAACAGCGGAGTTTTCTATAGAGAGACTACCCCTATACAATGGACAACGGTAGCATAATCAGCCTCGACAAATAGAAACACTACATAAATTGGGAGAGGCCTGGAATGGAAATTTACAATGCATCTGACAAGGGACTGAAATCTGTTCATTCGTCGTCATGGAGGAAAAGTTCACCTTGCGCGCTTGCTATGTTTCTTGCTTGTCATGTCATTTCGTTTCTTATTACTAAGTAACCAGCTATATAGCAACGAAGGGGCGCCATATGTGTTCATAGCGCAGTGGACCCCGACGCTGGGGACCAAAGCATGCACCCCGGTAGGAAACAGTGGGACATCACAATCGACGGAAGTAGGATCACATGCAAACACAATGCCTGGCCTCGTTGTCAAACTGAGTGGGTTTTGTAAAATGGCTGCCTTTGAACCACAAGAATGCCCATCAAGCATATCGAATGTTTGAATCTAAATCAATATGTCTTCCTTCAAACGGGGAAGTTTGAGAACATCGCCTGCATTAAACACAAGCAGGTCAGAATGTGATTCGGGGCTGACCAATAGGCTCTTTGCTCAGCGTTTTGGTAAGGGAGGGCGAGCTTGTATCAATGAGTGGAAAAAACGATTTCCCGTGCTGGGTCCTACCATTTCGTGTGCGTATTGGATTGCATGGTCGCAGCGGTCCTTTGCCACCTGGGGACACGCTCTTGAAGCCCTGACCTTGACAGGTGGCGCCCTATGAAACTCTTGACCCGACCGCGAATCTTGGTATAAGTTGCAATTGTGGATTTACAATCCTCCCTGGGGAATTGACTCTATATTATATGCTTGTCGTCGTGGCGATGGGCGGCCGTCTCACATCATTGGGGACACTGACCGGCTCCCGAAGTGCCAACAACCCCTGCACCGATGGCGAAACCCACGATATCTTGTGAAATCGCCTCTACTAGGGATGCATTGACATACCGACCTCGGGACATTGAATACGCGCGGACGTTCATTCAAGGCGGCCATCACCACCCCCGACTGGCTGCTGGAGCATTTTGGACTGGTCCTGCCTCGTTCGAGTGGTTCATTGCCGATAAAGTTAGGTAAACCACCAAATCTCGGAAATCGGTCTTTGGGTGGCGGAAATTGGTGCCCCTTCACGACTGTCATGCATCAGTGTTGGCGCTTCTCTAATTTTTAACGCGACTTCAATCATATAAAGAGTGCCAGTATGCGTTGAGCTATGTGGACCGTATTAACATTGAAGATATTGGAAATTCGGACAACTATTATCACCGTATGGTATATAAATACAAAGGATCTTCGTTCTTTTTTGACCCTCGGAACATGCACGTCACTCACAACAGCCCAAAGACTAAAATACACAACCACGCAACAGCAATTTGCTACGGCCACCAGTGACTGTCCACCTACCTAAGTAGTGCCTACTTTACTCAAATCTACCTAGGTAGCTTCTAAATTCCTGCTACAAAGCCAAGCCTTCATCATGGCCAAGTTGGGAGAAGGCGGCTACCGCCAAATCAACAAGTCCCTCAACATCTGCGCCTTCGAGGATTACCTCACAAGTCAGATGTCCAATCTTCCATTCATCCCAGATGTGGAGCAAATAAGCCCCCGTGTTATCAGGGTACTTGGCCAAAACCCAGGAAAGGCAAGTGCTGCTCATATTATCTAATGGACCAAAGAGGAGCAATTGAGCATAGCTAACTTTAATGACAGTTTACTCTTCAAGGAACAAACACCTACATCATTGGTACGGGTTCAGAGCGCTTGATTGTTGATACCAGCCAGGGTATTCAAAGCTGGGCCGACCTGATACAAACCACATTGTCTGAGATGGGGTTTAAATTATCACATGTCCTCCTCACGCATTGGCATGGAGATCACAGCCTTGGTGTTCCGCAATTAATTGCTCTCTATCCAGATCTTGTTGGCAGAATCTACAAACACTCTCCTGACCGGGATCAACAGCCTATTGTCGACGGCCAGATTTTTCATGTCGAGGGCGCGACGGTCCGCGCTGTGCACACTCCAGGCCACTCTCATGACCACATGTGCTTTATAGTGGAGGAAGACAACGCCATGCTGACGGGTGACAACATATTGGGCCATGGAAGCACGGCTGTTGAAGAAATGAGCACATATATGAAGACACTGAGGAAGATGCAGGCCTATGATTGTCAGATAGGATATCCTGCACACGGAACGGTCATCACGGACTTACGGACAAAAGTTATGGGAGAGCTCGCACAGAAGATTCGAAGGGAAAGACAAGTATTGCGTGCCCTGGATCAGGCTAATAAAAGGGACAGGCTGGCTGGTAAGGACAAGTCTCAGGGCCTTACCGTGTCGGAGCTTGTCAGTGCCATTCACGGCCGTGGCTTGGACGAGGAGGTCAGGAAATTGGCGGTGGAGCCCTTCATTGAAGAGGTACTTCGGAAGCTTGCAGAGGATGGAGCGGTGGCTTTCAGACTAAAGGGAGGAAAGAAGAAGTGGGCAGCTTTGTGAAAACGCTAGTTACATTCTAGTAAACTTTAGATTATAAATCTATTCACATTATTTTATATTTTATTTATTATTTATAAAAGATTAGTTATATTATATAAACTATTTATAGATTTTTTAAATTTTATTATTAATTTAAAGGTAAATAAATAAAGTTTTAAAAGAATAAAATATAATAGATTTTTTAAAATAAATTTAATTAATTTAATTATATAAAACTTTTTATAATAATTTTATAAGTATTTATAATATTATTTATTATTAAAAGATATCTTTTATAATATAATATAATTTATTTAACTTAATTAACTATTTTTAATAAACTTTTATAATATTATAATTAATTAACTTTTTATAAATATATAACTTACTTTAAAATACTTTTTATAAATAAATTTTAAAAATCTACTTAACTTAAAATTTTTAAATTATAATAACTTAAATTTATAATCTTAGAATTAATTATTAAAATAACTTACTTAAATATTATTAGTGAATAAGATTACTTAACTAAAAGACTATAATAACTAATTTAATAATTAGTTATTCTAGCAGTCTATAAGCCCGTACCGTCACACCGTGCTACCTCCTCTTTATTTTTAAGCGCCCTTGCAAATTTAGCCACATGACTGTCGTCATAGAGGCCCTTTAAAACGTCGAAAAGCCTCTCCCATATACATCCCGCACTTAGCTAGGCCTCGTAATTCTCCAACTCTTCTATATAGAGCTCGATGCCTTCTAGCCTATCTGTGCGGCACAAGGCTAAGCCACAGGCCCACAGACATACTATATTCTCTTTTTACTATTATTAGCACTATAGTTTTATTAAACATTATCTTAAGTGTTTAACACTATCTAAATACGCTATATACTTTTTATATATATAAGGATTAAAAATAAAACCACTCTATGTAGAGCTTAGGAGTACCACACGTAGCGTACCAGGCGAGGTCAATACAAGCTTTCCACTCGACCACACAAATGTACGCACACGGTCCTCAACCCGACTCGACGTCAGAACTTGAAGAGTGTAGCCGGATGAACGTACCAAAACTTGCGGACCGAACGAAACAGTGGAGTCTTGATTCAAAGAAACCGTCCCCTTGTGACGCCACTTTGACCAATCCTGCCACATCGTCTGTGCGAAGCCAGATAAGCGTTACTCCGATATTTCGGGGAAACTCCGTAGTAAAACCTCATATCCGGATTGTATATTTAATCCTTGTTTTCGGGGGTCTGGTCGCCACTGGGCGGCGACGTTCTACTATACTAGCCACCCTAGGGCACCCGAGCGTAGGTGCTGAGGACACACTGGCATGCACCGATCCCGCCCAATTTTCGTCCGAATAACTTAGATCTGGATTACGACCAAAACGGGAAATGGTTTACTAGCATCTGCCGACTCGTGCTTTGGTAAATTCTATCTACTTAAATTTGCTCCCGCGGAGTATTGATTCTCTAAATTGTTAAAGCTGAGCACGAATTCTGTTGGGCGACCCTCCCGCGGTTCTCGTTCCACGGAAGGTTAAAAACGTCTACTTTACTGGCACATTTGCGCATTTCACTTTACATGTATAACGATCAGAAACGAAACCCCTTGCGTATTTCACCAATTTGAGATACACATCCTCGATATTAAAATCTTCGTTCAAGTCGCAATAAACACCGTATTAGTAATATTAGGGTTGTCTTTATGATCCAGCCTGAGAGCCGGCCGAAATACCCTCGTCAAAGAACACATGCTCGTAGTGTGTTGCAGTTACATTGCCTGTCACAAGCTTTCAAATTTCCTGTGACATAATGGAAATATTCAAAACAGCACTACCGGCAAGAAGGCCTTGCGGCCACCTTGCAGACATTGATGGCGGCCTTCTAGTCAATACCCAACCATCCGTCTGGAAACGCATCGAGCGTGGCCTACTGGAATATCCGCAAAATCCCGCGGTCATATGCATGCACCAATCTCGAAATCACTTAGAAAAGAATTACAAATACGTTGGTGCCGACTTTGGCGCAAACAAACGTTGTGTTGGCAGGGCAGATTCAGACTATCTGTCCATGACCTATGCACAACTCCACGCCGCTGGATTGAAGTTTGCGAGGGAACTGATCAAGTTTGAGCCAGGCACAAATATTCTGTGTGTTGTCGAAAACGGTTGCGAATACGCCCTTTTGTTATGGGCAGGTGTCATGGCGCAGCAGACACACTCACCTCTCGATACTGCCATCCTTGAATCTGGAAAATATAGCGAGCTCCGGTGCTATTTGGAGATTCTGAGGCCGAAGGTGGTGGTCGTTCCTTGCGCTAGCCATATTGATGTTATTGAGCGTGCTGCCGATCAATCGGGGGTGGTGATTGAGCTCGGCATATTCCTTGAACATGACGATGATTCTTACCCGCGCAACCATTGGAGGGGATTCAGCGAGGTTTTGGACCAAGGGAGAGTAATCAATACCCATGAGGAAAGTGAAATTCTAAAGAGATCTAGTTGTGACTGCCCAGACCGAATCAGCTCTATCATCTTCACCTCTGGCACATCAGCTGGCCGTCCGAAAGGATGCCCTTCGAGTGTGGCGTCACAGACACACGCTCTGGAGTCACAAGCGTGGCTTATCAACAAGGGCAATGCCGACCGTGTCTTGCAGCAAGCCCATAATTCGAGGGCTATCGGGCTTCTTCATGCACTTCTCACATGGCAAGCTGGCGGCGCACTCGTCTTGCCGACCGGATCAAGCTTCTCACTCCGCCATACAGTTGATGCTATACTGCACCACAAGGCTACCTTTGTGGCCCTGACGCCGGCGTTGGTGCATATGATAGGGCAAGAACTGCTATCAAGAGGCGCGAAAATAGGAGACTGGGGCCATGTACGAACGATTCAGGTAGGCGGGGATGCCGTCACTAAAGAGGTCCTCGAGAAATGTGCGGCCTTGTTTCCACGCGCTCAGGTGGTTGTTAATCACGGCATGAGCGAGGGCCCAGGATCATTTATCTGGCCATTTTATAACATTCTTGTCGACAAGATTCCCTTCTTCACCGGCAATATAAGCCCAGTAGGTCATGTGGCACGGGGTGCGCGTGTTGTGATCTGGGATTCGAAGAGAGCCGAAGCGGCGTCCAGAGGGCATCCCGGAGAAATGTTAATCTGTTCTGCAAGTCTGATTGAACAGTACGTCGGAGGCGATTCACACGACAACGAGACATTTTTTCAGGACAAACAAAACCGACGATGGATGAAAACAGGGGACATCGCCGTCATGGATCGAGATGGGCTGGTTTACATTTTGGGCCGCAGCAGGCATGCAATCAATCGACACGGGTCTCCAATCATGCCAGCAATAGTGGAGAGCTGCATAGAGAAGTTTACAGGCGAACAGGTGAGAAAATCCCTCTCTGACTGTCGAAGCGCAGAGTGCAAACGCGCCTAATGTGCCAATGATAGGCCTGTGTCGTCGCGGTCTCAAGCCCGGTGCATGGGTATGAACCATTCGCGGTGGTCCGTAGTCTTGACGAGATTAAGTCAGACGACATAGTGAAGTGCGTAAGACAATGTTTAGGGGATGAATACATACTCTCTGGCGTAGCCTCGCTTACACAAGTCGGACTAAAGGAGTTTCCAGTCAACACCACACACAAGATTATCAAAGCAGAGATTGAGCAGGCTGTCACACAGATGATAAAAAGAGTGTGATAGTAACTTTAAACTATGTATTCTGAAACTACTTAGGACTACTATAAAGAGACTTATTAGTCTCTCACTATATAATCTATTAATCTGAATATTAAAAGTCTTAGTTTATTAATAAATATAACTTTTAAAGTTTACTTTTTAAAAAATAAAGAATAGAGGTTTATAAAGTAAAAAAAAAGAATATAAAATATTTTTTTATTAAAATAATTTATTATTATTAAATATAAATAATATTAAATTTAAAAAATAATACTTTTATTATATAAATCTTTACTTTTATTATATTAATAAATATAAAATAATATAAATATTAATAAATTTATATTAATAAATAAATTTTAAAAAAGTTTAAAAAGGGTATAAATAAGTGTACTATCCGTTTTTATAGGTGTGAATATCTATTATTATTATATTTATAAGAATACTTAAAAAATGCATTTAGGGGTTAATTCTCTATATTAAAAGTATCTTATACTGTTATTAAAGACATTCGGCTTACTCGAGGATTGTTCCGAACATCTCTCCACCCCATTCCCCAAACCACAAACAGGCAAATTCCGAAAGATGCCAATGTAATGTAGTAAACTTGATCAACCGCTATTACGTAGCCCCTCAAGACATTCCTGAGCTCACCTCCCGAAACCACTTCCCTTATCCCGGTGGCTCCTGCCTCTATTACCACATCTGGGTCGACAGATGGGGCATAACGATGAATTTGGGTTCTTAAGCCACTGTTGAAGACTGAACTTGCCACCGAGTTTAAAATAGAGCCTATAATATTTCTGGCGAAGATGAGAGTGGACATTCCAACGGACAAATCTTCGGCTTTAAGCACATTCTGTATAGCGAGAATCGGCTATTAGGGCATAGTTGCCATCGTCAGCGTATGCTAGTGGAAAAGACCACACCAAGATGGTGCTCACCATTTGCACCCCAAGCCCTGTGCCAAACCCGAGTAAGATCTGATATCCAACCCACCTATCGGTTGAGGTATCGACTCTGAAAGTTGAAATGAGACCTGTGCCCACGGCTGAGAAGACAATACACGCAAGGACGAAGGGCATATAATAGCCCACTCTGTCCACTGGTACTCGTCAGCGCCACCGTCCTACATTTCCAGGTCAGAATGGGACGATCAATATCATCAAAATACCTGAGATGCCCGAGCACAGTGTGGCACAGATTTGTGCCACAATACTCGGAAGCATTTTCACGCCACTCATCAAAGCCGAGTCGCCTTGCACCGCCTGGAAGAATATTGGAAGATAGAATGTCCGCAACACAATGGAAGTGAGTAAAGTGGAAAAAAAGATGCAGCTGCAATACATAACTCGCTGTCCGATGACATGAAATGGGATCATGGCGCGAACTCCCATATAACGTTCCCATCCGATGAAAATGCCCAGACAAACGACTGCGCCGCACAGCATTCCAATGATGACTGAGCTATTCCATTCATACGTGTTTCCGCCCCATTGTAGTGGAAGCAGGAGCATCAGTGCGAATCCGGCGATCAGCAGCAGTCCCAGATGATCGACCGTCCGAGCCAATAATCTGGCGGAGTCGATCAATCCTTGCAGACCGCCCCCGTCTGTGCCATTGGGATCGGGAAGACGCATGAAGATTAGGATTGCCACCACTGGCACGCCCAATGGAAGGTTAATGTAGAAGCCTAAATTGAAACGTCGCCATTCAGTCATCAGGATCCAAAATGAAAATGAATGGACCATTTCTATGCTTACACCATCGCCAAGAAACAAGACTCGTGAAGATACCCCCGAGAAGGGGACCCATGACGGTTCCAATTTGACTGACTGCGGCATGTCAGCACGCTCTGCACTGAAATTATGGAGATCTGTAGCCTGCGTGCATTGCATAAGGCGACTCACGTCCCATCAGTGCCCCATTCAAGGCTGCAGCACATATCGTCAGCAACCCCTAGCTTCAAAACCACCGTGTCATGATGTTACTCACAGCCTCGCATGTGAGGAGGTGTTGAGCAGGCAACAATCGTCAAGCTGCCGTTTTGGAGCCCAGCAACACCTGTACCGGCGATGACGCGTCCGATGATCAGAGTTATTGAGTTCCTCGAGACAGCACACACGAGAGAGCCAACCTCGAATATCCCGAAGAAAAACATGTATACCCACTGTGAAAACCCGGTCTTGTCAGTTCTCTTCTTGATTTGAATGGGCCGGGCCCTGTCATACCTTTTTATTCATGGATGCGTACATCTGACCAGTCAAAGGCTGCATCACCGCACTTTAGAATAATTAGCACTGGCCTTTTGAGTGGTTGACTTTGCCGGCAAGGCGCCGATCCAAACCTCACCTGGCAAGTTGATAAGCGGACTCATACCACCCCACATCTGCCAGGGAATGGAATTCTGCTGTAATGACAGGTGTTGCCTATTGTTGACAGACAGGTTAATTCGAGTTTATAGTCAGAAGCAGGGGTCAAGCGCTACATACCGTTCCAATGATTGAGCTGTCAAGAAGCGCTAAGAACATGACGATACTCGTCGCCGTCATCAGTGTGAACAACCGAAACCCGGTTACCCACTCTGGCTCGTCCCCCTTTTCTTCAGTCCCCACGAGGTTGGTTGCCTCCAACTCTTCGAAGTCTTCTTTAACATCTTCTTCCTTTTCGTCACGTTCGAAGTCGCCTAAAGACAAATCGACCTCTCCAAAGTCTGCAAAAAGCGCAGAGAGCCATGTTGCTCTTGGCCGGGGCTCCTCTTTTCTTCGGCTGCCTCGAGGGTCATACACAGGAAGTGGGACTCGAACATATGTGACATCACCATGCCAAATGCTGGGATAGCTAAAGTATCGCGGTATCATCAACATCTTCACGGAGACATCTAGGGATGAGGATAGGGTGGAGAATAAAGAGGAGGCCACCAGATGAAGATCAGGCGAACACGATTCAGATGTGAAATCCATTCTATAGGACTTCAAAGTAAATACAAATTTTGGAATGCCTCGGTGTTCGAAAGATCTCCTCGCGTCGGACATCGGCATCGGACCAATGACCTCATTCAACATGACCAAAAGCGCGCGTTCGAAGCCGATGGTGCATTCTTCCTGCCTGCTTCCTAGCAGATGCTTGTGATATTCCGGTACTCAGGTTGTGTAATGGATGTGTCTAGTAGGATTCATACCTGGCTAAGAGTGCCCTCTCGCACGGAGACATTCTACCTAGGTACCTGGCCCTGAGCGAACAACTTGAAGGCATGGCTGTGGTGGCGAATCGTAGTGGCAAGTTGCTACTGACGGCTTGACTTTTCGGGTACGGAGGCTCTAAGCTTCCCTTAATAGAGCCTTGCTTTGACATTTCTCTAGTAGAGTATGTCTAGTCTGATGGTTGGGATGAATTCAATCAGTTATCTTTCTGATATTCTCCGGTGATCAAATGAAAACCAAATACTTCTACACAACCTCTTAATGTCCGTTTTAGCCTCATGCTACACGACACCCACATTTGAAGGTAGGGCGTTCTCTATGCATGTGAGTACTTACTTTACCACAGGCAGCTTGCAATACAATAGAAATTTAGAGGTGCCAAGGGAAGAACTTAGAAAGAATTCAATGCAAAGATTTTCCATTTACTTGGTTTACAGTTGCCCAATCATTGTGTTACTTGATGGTATTGTTTTCAAATGGATTGTCTACCTAGGTAGTATTTGTTTGGAAACGGGGAGCGGGTCCCACGTCATACCATACCTACATACCTACCTAGGTAGGTAGGTACCTAGGTAGGGAGCACGCAAAGCTGCCAGTGCGTTTCTGGCCATATTCCAAATTTTATGCTTTCAATTCTCTTGAACAACTTCAAGGTGTAATACTGGGCTTTTCTGTCTCCATAAAGGCCTGGTACTGATTCTAGTGAGACCACCAAGCCATCATGTGATGACTTCCGATCTATGACTTTGAGCCCGCCCACCTGGGCACGCTATCCCACACTTGATCACTAAGTTGAAGCAGCTCATTCGTTTCCATATCATGTCATTTTCCAATTGCTAATGCGACAAGTATCGCAGACTAGCACGTCTATCCAGCTCCAAATTCATTTCTTTCATCTGGCAAGTTCCCTCGGCGGGGATTTGCCTGATGTTCCGCACAATGAGGATTTACTTCGTCTCCGAATTTGCCAGAATTGTGGAATGTAGTTAACGTTCCGCTACTATGCGGGAAAAAAGCTCGAGGTGTGGAAAGAAAGGCGAGGTAGCTAGAAACAAGAGGACGCGTGCGGCGGCGAGGAACATCGTTTGACTTGTTCCACATGGGCGGTGCTGAAATGTTCACGCGAGGATGGGAAATTTGATGATAACCGACTTTTGAATCGGAGTCTCTTCCGCTATTTCCATCCTCAGAGATCTGTACAGTGAATTTTAATGCAGGATATAGATTGGCTGGTGGATTAGAGTCGAGCCTGAGCCGGCCTCGTACATAGATTTGTGAGCTTGAATCTGGTCCAGTACATAGTGGAAGAATAGATCTTGCCTCAACCACTCCTACCGAATCTCATGTCAAGTCAGACCAGTCTATTTGTATCCAAGATGCTGCTCTTCTCTTCGCATATTGTGTAGCGCATGTGGGCGAGCCATTGACGTTACAGGCGACGTCTTTCTCTGCAGTCTCTGGTAAATGACGTGAATCCTGGGGTAACAAGGCCATATGAAGTTATTGCCTCGCCACCTCTCGTCCGTTTGGTAGCCTCGACCACTTAGGACGCAGGGTCTGAACAGCTGTAAAAGTTGCAGCTATTTGATGAATCGACTTGGGAATACATCGTGATTTCCTTTCATCCGAAAGTGGCCGTCTCGATTCCACGTTTCTCACTTGCCTGGAACCTGCTACAAATAACGGCGTTACTACATGAGCGCGCTCGAACGTGTCCTGTGCCAGTGTGCATAGTTTCAGGGTTTCGAAATTTGATCTACCGAATTTACCCAAGTACCCTCGACCGAAGCTTTTGTAGCATGTGCACGGGAGCCGGAGATTCGCCACATGCCGCAGTGTAAAAGCTCCCTACTACTGAAGAGCTCGGTACCACAAATATCATGCCAGGAGACACACAGCCCTTCCAAGGTTGAGAGTCCGTCGTATGTACACGTGAGCATATGTACCGTCAACGCGCGCTGTCCACATTTAAAACAGACAGGCTTGGGCGCAGCAATTACATTTCTCCGTGTCGGCTATTTTTGAGGTCCCATTGTGCAATGCTCGGGCGTAGACGGAGTTCGGAGCACATGTGCGATGCAACGGTGGCGACGACCTTGCGCGGGGGTCCGGGAACCCTTGCACTGGAGATGCATGTCAAGTTGTGATCGTGAATTCGATTCATATTTTCAAGAAATATATACAAGAAGCACCTCCCCATCCTGCAATTGGGTCAGGCGAGCAAGAGATGAGCCTAGATGGAAGCTGAACTAACGCTACGCCAAGAACAATGACACGAGCAGCACCAAAGCTTCGGGACAGCTGTCAAGCGTGCTCAGCTTCAAAAGTCAAATGCAGCCGCAAAAAACCAACCTGCGAGCGGTGCGCGACACGCCAGCTCAAATGCGAATACCTGGTCACTAAGAGGGCGGGTCGCGTGAAGAAACGCCACAGTGAACCGAGACTCCCAACATCAGACTTCATGTTCAGTCCCGTCTGGTCCACTCCAACTACAACCTACCCTGAGAGTTCGGCAGAGTACAGTGCGACGTGGGCTACGCCATCACATCTCGATCTGAAACCGCAACTCAGCTCTTCATGTGCAGAACCTTCGAACACATCCCCCATGACTGCACTTGGCACCCCTGAACTATTCCAATCACACTTGAATGCATTTCCTGGGCTTGACAGCTTGGACTTTGACCAATTCGGTCCCGAGCAGTTTGACCTACCGCTCAGCAAAAATGACTACAACACGAGCCAGTCCACCAAGATGGGCTTGGTGCCTCAAAGCGAGTCCCAACAACCCCTGGAACTGCATCTCGGACTAGGAGGTGCTTTATCCGGTTTTGACGGTTTCAAATTTATCCAACAAAAAGACACGGTAGCTCATGTCGGGGAGACCACGACAGCGAGCTCGAGGTCTGCAGGGTCACCACCTTTCGATGTGCCGTCGTCCTGCACCGGATGCTGCCTACTCGAAGCCATTGCTCTCCTGAGACAGCTGTTCACAAATCTATCCGCTGGCTGCTCCCGGTCCGCAAGCCCAAGTCCCATGGATGGCAACAAGAGTTTTATTCCCAATCACTCCAGTCTAGAAGGTATAATTTCCAACAACAAGCAAACGATTGAGACTGTTACCACCATTCTCAGTTGCCCTTGCTCTCAGGATGCCTACTTGCTCGCTATCATGACTCTCATAGTTTTCAAGGTCATAAATTGGTACTCGACCATTGCACGGCATAGTCATACGGGTCAAGAGCCACCGGGCCGAAGACATTCAATAAGCGATTTCATGCACGCTGTTGAGGAAGACGAGGAAAGAATAGCCGGTCACCTCATACTCAGTGAGCTATATTGTGTCCAACGACTGGTCAGCCAACTCTCCCGCCGCCTGAAGGCAGACGCAGTTCGATCTGGTATGGGTCAACTCCTACCTGATGAAATCGGTGCTATACCACGGGATGCTTCAGATGGGTGGGTTCCATTCTCAGCTGCTTTCCTTGATCAGCTCGAGGCAGATCTCCGCAAGGGCCTGCGTACCCTATTCTCTGAGATAGTGAGTATGCTACGTCGGGTATGACAAGCGCAGCTTCAGCATAAATCCATAGCCAGTGAGACAATAATAGACTT